ATCACTATCAACTTTTCCCTTACCATGACTATTACTGTACTCATATATTTTGTTGTGTTGTGGGTCCATTTCCCCTTGTCTCAAGGTTTACAAAAAGTTGGTTCTTTGACCTAGTGGTTGTTCAGGTTCGTGTTATTTACCTTTCACATATCTGTGAACTTTCCAATGCTCCTCCTATTTTTGATTTCCAGTTTCATACCATCGTTGTGGTCAGAAAAGATACTTGATAAGATTTCAGTCTTTGTAAATTTGTTGAGAACTTGTCTTGGGGTTTAACAGATGATCTCTAGTAGAGAATGCACTTTGCATGCTTGAGAAGAACTGATTTTCTGCTCCTGCTGTAGTGCCCTACACATGTGGGTCAGGTCCGTGGGTCTGAACTACAGCCTTAGCCTAACGTTTCCTTACTGACTTTCTGTGGGAGCGAAGTCTTGATTTTTCCTGTTATTACCACACTGCTGTCCATCTTGCCCTTCAGGTCTGTTAATATTTGCTTTATCTATTTAGGTGTTCCAGATGCCTGTTGTCTTAGTTACTTTTTACTCGTTGCTGGGACAAAATACCCAACACTCAAAATGTAGGTGGGAAAGGTTTATTTCTTACAGTTCTTGAAGGTTTCAATCCATACTCAGTTGGCTCCAAGGCAGGGTGGCATGGCGGGACCGCCATTCATGGCCAGCTGCAAACAGCAAGGTACAAACTGGCAAGAGAGAAACATACCCTCTTCCCGCTGCTACATTGTATGCCAGCTCCACCCCTAGGCGGGTGTGGCACTCACATTACCAATCTGAGCGCTAGACAATGAACCAATCACAAATGCTAGATTTGGTTGAATCCATTATTTATAAGGCTGGGGAGCCACTGACATAAACCATAACACATGCATATTTGCAATAAACTTATATCATCTTACTTATAATGAGATAGTAATATTTTATTTCACTTTATGACTTTTGACTTAAAAATTCCATTTCATCTAAGTATAAATTCCCTTATTCTTATTTTGTTTCATTTTTGTGGACTATGGAATGTCTTTTTCCATCCTTTCGGTTTCCATTTATGTGTGTCCTTAAAGCCAAAGTGATTCTCTTCCAGGCAGCTTACGGTTTGCCCATCCACTTGGCCACTCTGTGCCTTTTGAATGGAGAATTTAATTTATTTACCGATTGTTAGTGCTAGGTAAGGACCTAGTACAGTTACTTTGTGAATTGTTCTCGTTATCTTGTAGATTTTTTGTTCCTTTCTTCTTATCTTACTCTGTAGTTTGACAGTTTGCTTTGATTCTTTTTTGTTATCTTTTGTGTGTCTGCTATAGGTTTCTGCTTACTAGGTTTTGCTATTATCAGTTTAAACTTGATTACATACAAAAAGCTACACTTTGCTATCCTCCCACTTTATGCTTTTTTAAAACTTTTTATTGGTACCGGGGATCAAACTCACGACCGCCTGCTTGCAAGGCAGGTGCTTGTGCCGCTGAGCTAAATCCCCAGCCCCTTCCACTTTATGTTTTTTAGTGGTGAAGTTTATACCTTTTTAATATTGTGTATCCCTAAGCAAACTGCTATGGTTATAGTACTTGTCAATAGTTTCATCATTTATTTATTCTTAATTAATTTTAAAGAGAATAAAACAGTGCAGTGACACTAATAGAAGCAGTGATAGGACAGTAGGAAATGGACAAAGGTTACCATATTGCGTATTGTTCTCTAAATAGTTGTCGGGTTTAGGCTTGCAAAGCCAGTCAGCAGTACAGTTCCTCCAAACCAGCTGGTTGCTCACAGAGGGATGGGGGCTCAGCTCCCTTTCTGGCTTTCCCTGATTTGCACTCTGGCTGGCTCACAGGCAGGGGCTTAACTTTCTTCATTGTTCTCCCATCCCAGTTTTGTCTTTTAAACCTCATATTATACAGAAGTTATCTACATGCCATTATTATGGGATTATTCTGGACCTAACTGTATATTTGCCTTTGTTAGCAAGTTTTTAAATTTTTTAAATTTTAATTTAATTTAATTTTATTTTATTTTATTGGTATTGGGATCAAATACATGACTTTGTGCTTGCCAGGCAGGTGCTTATGCCACTGAGCTAACACCCAGCCCCAACTTTTAAAATTTTTATTAGTCTGTGTTTGTAGTACATAATGACTACATTCTTCATGAGGACTGGTGAATGTACATAACACATCTTCATGCTTTTTTCATCCTTTTCTCCTCCTCTATCTCTTGCTTCCCTTCTGTGAATTTTTTTTAAAAATAGTCTTCAGTCTGTCCTGTCATTAGTAAGCCTTTTTGTTTATTCTGAAGAACTCCCTTTAGCATTTCTTGTAAGGCAGGCCTGGTAACAATCACTTCCCCCAGTTTTGTTTGTCTGACAGTGTATTTATTTTCCTTCCTTTCTGAACTACAGCTTTGCGCTCTTCATGACTGACAGTTTTTATTTTTCTGAAAGCTCTGACCATAGTCTCTGCCTGCCTTCCAGTTATGCTGGAGATATTTGCCAATAGTGTTATAGAACCTCCCTTGTATGTGATGTGTCTTTTATCTCACACTACTTTCACACTTGTGTCTTTGACTTTGACAACTTATTCTAGTGTGCTGTGGAATATTTCTCTTTGGGTATATCTCTCTTAGAGTCTCTTGATTTCTATGAATCTGTACATCCTCCATATTTTCCCCAAGCTTTTGCAAGGTTTACAGTATTTCTTTAAATAAATAAGCATTCTACCTATTTCGTTCTCTTTTTCTCCTGAATCTTCCAAAATTTGTATGCTGAGTGCTTTTAATAGGTCTCATTATGCTTTCTTCGCTTTTCTGTTTTCTTTCATGTCTGTTTTTTAGTTGACTAAATTCACACTTGTGCCAGTAACACGTAAGAAGTATTTATAGGGTACCATTCATGGTAGTCTCAGATTTGAGACAGTTCCGTAATTGCATAATTTGTTGCATAATTTGTGTCAAATATTTAAAAGTGCTACCAGGTTGTTTTGTGTGTAATGGTACTTCATGTAGTTTAAATTTTTATTTTTTAGATACTGTGATTTTACACATCTTACAAACTTAAATTGAACATTTAGAATTTCTTTCTGTACATGGAATAAATCTATTTTCTTTTGTTCCTGTTTAAACATTGTCATGCATTTTCACTATCAGTAATTTGGAGGGAATCACTTTTCCCCCCACATGGTTGATTTTTAACGTCTTCTGTCTTTTGTGTTATGCCTTACCATGATTTTTATATATGTACACTTCCTTTGGTTTTGTCTGCAGTTTCACAATGGGGAGTTCAGCATTAAAGATGTTCAATAAATGTTTTGAGATTTGTCAAATATTAGTAACTGCCTTTTCTTTTTGCTTTTTTTTTTTTTTTGCAAATATGCACTGGCTTTTTGGAAACAAGGAAGAACATTTAATTTAGTCATTTTTGTCTCAAGAAGCATGATCAGTCATTAAAATCATGCATTTGGGAGTAATAATTTCTTCTTGTATTAACTGTAAATGTCGTGCATAGGTAGACAAGTTTAGCTCTTTAGGAAAAAGTGAACTTTTAGAAATGGAAGTTAGATGGTTCTTAGAAAAAGAAAAAGGAACTCTGTTAAGAATGCGGGAATGGCTGGCACTGATAGTTACAAGAGAAAGATGGCTCAGGGCTGTGTTTGGGAGATGGTTAGTAAGCTGTGCCTTTGAGAGGGCTGAGTCTGAGCCATACTCCTCCAACTTGTAGGCGATGGAGCCTCTCTGTAGGGTCTTATAGTCGGTTCGAGAGACAGTAATGAAACATAATGAGGGAAACTGGAGCCTAAGGCATGGGGCCATCCACTGGCCAGGTCTTAACTTGGGGACACAGAAGGCAGGTGCTGGGAGAGGAGTGGGCTGGGTAACTGAAGAAAAGAGCCAGGCAGAGAGCAGCCAGCTTCGGGAGAAGCTGTACTCCTGGTAGTGTCAGCAGTGGATGTGCACACAGCCACGTGTCTGCTTCTAGTCCCTCTTTGGTGGCAGTGGGATCTCAGGACACAGGCTGTGCTACAGTGAAATTCCTGCCCGGGTTAAGTTACACGCAGTGGGACTCTTGATACCGGTAGGGAGGGGACCTGGAGTTGATCTAAGTAAGCTCCACTGCACATCAGCTGTGCAGACACAGGAAAAGTCTTAACTTCTCCGAATATGTTTCCTCCCATAAAAGGTGAAACATCGAGCTCATTAGCTTTTATCAAGATGAAATAGCTGAACACATGTAATTCCAGCTCACTCAGTAAAAGGAGCCAAGAAGACCAATATCCAGGAGATGTCATTGTAGCTCTGCCATCAAGCACATCTAACCCGACTTATTCAACACCACACCACCAGGTACAGCCCTGATCATCGCGGGTGGGGCCACTCAGCACAAGAAGGCCCCTACAGGTGACTTGCCGCTGCGGCTCCAGCTTAGAAGCTACCTTCTTTGGGTGGCGGGCAGCTGCCTGCCTTCTGTAGGAGCTAGGAATAGCCATAGTCAGCAGTGGCAACACATTTGCAGTGCACACTTGACCTATGCACCTCGGCTGAGAATCGGGCAATAAGGGAGCTCCCAGCCTTATTCCACCCAAGTGACCAAACCTCCTGAGCTTAGTACTTTACTGCGACCCAGCCCCACCTGCACTTCCTAAAGCAATTAAGTAGTGACATTAGGCCCAATCTTGTGTGCTGGTGGATGTGAGGAGGGTGGGAAACTCCTCTCAGGATTGCCTCACTCGACTGCCACGGTAGGAGCAGAGAGCATGTTATCCAAATGGAAAAGTAGCGATCTGGGTTCAGAGTCAGTGAAGTAACGGTGGCTGACCAATTGTTTCCAGGATGAAAATATCCTCATGCTTAAAGGGATGCGATTGTCCTTCAGCGTCACAGAGGCCCATGCCTGAAGAGGTCGGGTCATTTACACAGTTGTTGGGGACAGATCTGAGATCAGAGAGCAGGGCTAGGGGTCTCTCCGATTTATTCTGTTATTAACCGAGGTAAAGGTGACCATGAAGTGAAGCGCTCGATTTTATTAGCATGTAAGACACCCATTTATACACAAAAATTCCCTTGCAACAGAAGAGTCTGTAATGAGAGGGCAAAAGACCCCTGAGAACGACACAAAACTAGGCAGAGCGAGGTTTTCCCTTTTTCTAGTCTTGTTGAAAAGAATTACATGGAAAAAAAAACAAGAAAGGAAGAAGGAGAAACCCAATTTGGAGATAAATCTAAGGGACAGTATTTTGGGATCTCTGACCAATGGGCTCTTGCAAAGGCAGGATTTGCAAAATAATTTCCTAAAATAACTCTGCCCTGGTCACAGAGCCTTGGCAGGCACGCGCTGTTCCATGGTGATGTTGCTTATTTTTGAGGATTTTTCTTCCACCGAGTGGACCCTGAGGGAGAGGACACTGCCGAGCTGGTCCAGCTCTTCCACCATTGTTTTGACGAATGTTTCTTCAGTTAAGTCTAAAAAAACAACAGAAAGAAATAAATCAACATAAGTGCAGGGGCATTCTTAACAGGTTGCAAAGAATCTGGACTCCACAATTTGCTTTGTAAAATTCTTTTCAGCGAGCTCATAGACAGTCAATATAGAACAGTGTTGGGGTTGGGGATTTAGCTCAGTGGTGTAAGCACCTGCCTGGCAAGCGCAAGGTCATGAGTTTGATCCCCGGTGGAAAAATAATATATTTATAACATGTGTAACAAGACTGAGATCAATCGTTCTTATATTTGTTGCTCATTTTTTTTTTTTTTTACATGAGTAGGTGCAGGAAGGCAAATATTGCAAAATAAAACTAAATGCCAGGCAAGGGTGGGCTTGGAGAATCAATGCCTGAAAAATAAAACGCAAGAAAAACTATAACTTGTCCTTGTTTCGTGCTTTATAATACAATACTTCTCAAGCACAGAAACTGTGAAAAGATATGTTCTGGGTAAAAAATATTGGGGGGATTGAGTCCTCATTTCAGTAACCTCATAAGGTCACCCCTGTTCTACAAGGAGTTCAAATACAAATGCTAAGAACTGCTGTCAGGATTGCTTGTCTCTCTGTTCTCCAGAGGTAAACTCAGCCCCGAGTCTTAGTGAATTAGCGATTATCAAATATAAACCCTTATGTACCTTTGACTTGATTTCCAGAATTTACGGGCCTGGCTCCTTTTGCTCTGTGGCACGTGGCTTTGCTCCTGCTGTGGGGGAAAGAGTACTTAACTGCAGTTTTTCCTCCGAAAAAGAGCTCATAGCAAGGAATTGGAGATAAAACGGTCAAAGTTCGAATTTCAGTAAGATTTAAATTGCTTTTATGTGTAAGGGATATTAGGAAGCCTTCCGTGATTTCCCCATAGTGAAAATGGAGATTAAATAGGTGTTTATGATTGGAAATTTCCTTCAAACGAGATTCTCTTTCTCTTGACAGTGTGGGGATGCTGTGTTCTATCTTAGGGTGACTTTTCTTTCAGGTGGCAAAGAACACATTTGGGGGACTAAACCAGGCTGGGTCTGTAGAAAATATAGAGCTGAGAGACACAAACAGGTCGTATTGTTGGAAATACAGCAAATTCATGCAAAAAGTATCCCTCACATAGAGTGGAGAGTGCTGTCCATTTGGTTTGAAATGGACATTATAATTAAAAGCAGCGGGGAGCCATCGCTGTTTGATTCTTCTGGGAACTGGCTGTGCAGAGCTGACCCTGTGCTTGGAGGTGCAAAAAGTAGGGTGGCTACAGCCAAGCACTTGGTCACAGGCACTGGTCACCAAACACCGTGCAAGGCACGGTCACACACACTTACTTCACACACAGAGGGAGGCTGGGACCGGTTATGAGTGTGGCTTGCATCTTAACCCAGTTTTATCAATGAGGACCAAACTGTGGTCCAAAGAGCTAACCATGGGCTCAAGTTCACCTGTATGGAATTTACACTGCAGTTCTAGGGCTTTTTTCGGCTCTTGTCTAACAAATTATGGTTGCTTCTCCACTTAAATCTCCCTAGTCATCACTGCTCCATTTGAACAGAAAGTCTATGGAAAGTCCATAGCTGGGAAGTGCTGGGTGGGGTGTCGCCCGCGGGTAGAGCCCTTGTCTAGGGTGGATGACACCCTGGCTTCAATCTAAAGCAAGGCCAAAAAAATGACTTATTATAAGAAATGCGTTTAAATATAGATCACAGAAAGCAATTTTCCCTAGATTAAAGTACTAGAACTGTTAAATATTCTACACTTTATTGTCCTTTATATTAATCTATACAATAGATTAATATATTATGATTTTCAAATTTCTGGCTGCTTCCTGCCAGGTTTCCTTTCCCTTGAAAGCATAATACACAATCCCAAGGAGGCATATGGGAGTGGTCTTCACAGCAGGAAATTCTTTTTTTTGTCTTTTTCTTTTTTTTTATCGGTACCGGGAATCAAACTCACGACCGCCTGCTTGCAAGGCAGGTGCTTATGCCGCTGAGCTAAATCCCCAGCCCCACAGCAGGAAATTCTATGGCACCATACTGGCTTGTGTATAATTTTTCCCAGGTTCACGCTTACCCTTCCTCTCCGTCTAGTAAGTTGCAATACGTTTCAATTTCTTTTTCCAAAATCATCTTGACGTCCAGGAGCTGCTCGTGCTCCAGTTTCTGGCCTTCTGTTTCCGTTCGAATCTGCTGCAACTGCTCCTCCATTGCCCCGATCTGATCCTGGATCTGCTGGAGCTGAACGCAGTAATTTCCTTCGGTCTCAGCCAGCGTGTGTTCATAGGATTGTTTCTGGAAGAACCCAGTGAAGTCCTCAGTGCATGAGGGAGAAGGGTGTGCTCACACTGCAAACACTCCCAAGATGAAAAATATGCAGGCTAAGTGTTTTCTCCTGAAAATCAAAACTGACGAGGTTTAAAAAATAAATTTCCCCTTAGCTGGGTGTGGTGGTGCCTAACTCTAACTCCAGCTGTATGGGAGGCTGAAGCAGGAGGATCACATGTTGGAGGCTAGCTTGGATAATTTAGCAAGGCTCTGTCTCGATATATAAAATTTTGAAAAGGGGGTGTAGCTGAGTGCAGAGTGTTTTCCTAGCACATGCAAGGCCCTGGGTTGGTTATTCAGTTCCTCAAAAGCACACGCATGTGTGGGTGCGCACACACACACACACTTTCCTCTCTATTGAAAAAAGTAATTTTTCAGATTTTGGGGTGGAGGCATCAGAAGTAACATTTAAGGGTGGAACCATTAATACTGAATACACTTTATATTTTTAGCACTTGTTCTGTCCGTACCCTTACAGATACACTTCTAACACACATGCTTATGTGTAAACACCGTCGTATTTCGGATTTGCTGGTGTGTGTTCCCCCTGGGTGCATGTGTTGCAAGCAGGTGTGGTGACATTAAGGGGCACAGGACGATTTCAGAGGGGACCGTGGTCAGACTGGCGCCGGGCTGTTTAGGCTTTCAGCCTCCAATGCTGTGAATTGAGTAAAGTCCTTCCCAGCAGGAAGCATCGAGCCCAAGTATTTGGGGAGAGCAACAGAAAGTAGACGAGCGTGCGCACACACACACACACACACACGCACACACACAGCAGCCCCGTGTACCATAGCCAGGAGGGACTGGAGCTCTATTTCCAGGCTCTGCAGGCTGCGTTTCTGTTCCATCAGCTGATTTCTGGCTGCTGTGGCCGCGCCTGCGTCATCCGAAATCTGTTGCTGCAGAGACGCGCTCTGTAAAGGAACGGTCCGAAGGTCAGGGGCCGGTGCAGCCACCCGGTGCAAGGCCCTCCTGGGTTAGCCCACGTGTACCTTCTCGTGAAAGCAGGCCTCGGCGTCCCTGCGGTTCTGCTCGGCCAGGTCCTCGTACTCCGCCCGCATGTTGTTCAGCAGCACCGTGAGGTCCACGCCGGGGGCCGCGTTCATCTCCACGTTCACGTTCCCTCCAGACGCGCATTGGAGGGCTCGGGTTTCCTGGGAAGAGCCGGGATTCATCCTCAAGGGAGGATTCTCATTGGTAAGAGAAAGAGGGGAACTGGGACATCACGCGCAGGCTTCCTTACCTCCTCGTGGTTCTTCTGGAGGAAGGCCAGCTCCTCCGTGAGGCTCTCACACTGTGTCTCCAGGTCGGCGGCACAGAGGGTCAGCTCCTCCAGCACCCGGCGGAGATTGCTGGTGTCGGCCTCCATGAGCTGGTGCAGGCCCAGCTCGTTTTCGTACCTGAAAGGTCATATAGGAGCCTGAGACCTGGGACCGTGGGGACGCACTTGCGGACGGACGCATGCTCTGCACACATTTCTGAAGCTGCCTGAACAGTTAAACCAGTTTGCGCTGCCTACCGATCTGTGAGGATCCTTCGGAGGTGTTATTTCTCCAGGGGCAATTTGCCCTCTGATGTGCTTAGCAGTTGAACAAAATATTTTAAAAATTCATAGTCGCTCCTTAGGAGGGCATGTTTAATTTGGTTCCTCGATTTATCTAGTGGGGTATCATGAAAATGTTTTGGTTACAAAGGCAAAAGAGGGCTGGGAGAAGAGCAGAAGAGACGTTCTTCAGTCCAACTTAGTGGTTTTACCTTTGTTCATGGAATTAATTATTTGTACCTACTTCAGCTTGAAGTCATCAGCAGTCAGCCGGGCGTTGTCGTTTTGGAGAACAATGCTGGCATTATAGGCGGTCACAGAAATAATCTATAGAGAAGAGAGCGGGCAAAATGGTCAGGGTCAGAAGTCCAAGGACCCTCTGGTTTTGGTGACATCCTTTGTCTTCTTCTACGTCAGCCCCATGACATCATTAATTTACCCATTAATCTGGGTTTTTTTTCGGATAATAAATATCCAGCCCCTAAGAGCCACATGGGTATTTCAATTTCTCTTGATCAGAAACGTCGAAACGATGCGATTCCATTCATTTGGAAACCACTTCTCCATCCTTATTTAATTTTACAAATCTGTATCACCAGGCACTGCTCTTAGCATAAAGAATACAGAGTGAACAATTCTAACCCTCATCCATTCTATATTTTCTCTGCTTTAAGCGACGCACACTAGGAAGTCTGGCTACAGGACACAAGTCTGTATTTCTTACCTGTTTTTTCAGGTCCTCGATGGCTGAGAAGTATCTGCTGTAGTCATGACCGAGCCCTGGGAGGTGCTCTGGCCCGCACTTGTCGTACCAGTCTGCAATCTTCTGCTCCAGCTCAGTGTTGGCGGCCTCCAGTGTGTGCACGTGGGCCAAGTAGGAGGCCAGGCGGTCGTTGAGGTTCTGCATGGTCACCTTCTCATTGCAGGACAGGAGGCCTTGCTCGTTTCCCAGGAAACCAGTGAAGATGCCGCTGCCAGACCCACCTCCACCTTGGCAGGAGCTTCCGGCAGAAGAAACAGCCCCAAGCGTGCAGGCGAAGCTGCTTTCTGCTCCTGGAGCGACACACGTGGTTCCAGCCCCGAAGCCGGAGCCTCCCCTGGACAGTCGGGGGGACCCAGCTTGTGAGCAGATCCTCCTGGAGCCACTGGAAAACCGGAAAGACATGGCCACAGCACAGCCCGGCACTCTTCCCCAGAGCACCCTGGCTGGTCACCTTCTGCAGAGGCTGGGCCGCAGCCTTTTATAGGGTTCGTTGTCATTTCAGTCTCTCCTATGCTGATCTGTAATAAAACACCCCTTGCATGTTAATTGTTGTTTTTCCCAATCAGAGGTTTTTAATAGTTTCCAGTAGGTGGCACAGTGCCCTCAGGGTGCTTTTTATACTTGAAAAAGGTGCCGGGCAGAGTAATGCTAAATCATAGCCTCCAAGGGTTAGTAATTCTAAATCATAGTCTCACAGATAAGAGAAAAGAAATCAGAATTTTTTTTAAATCAAAAGATGTCAATGTACATCATTCTCATCTCTGGAATAGTATCTAGTCTTCTCTCTCCTATGAAAAAGAGTTAATATTTCACACGAGAAATGTTTACTATTCTTGTTCTACAGATGCATGTAGAGTTCAGTGAAACCTTGGTTTGTGAGCATACTCTCTTCCGGAAACATGGTTATAATCCAAACACTTGGATATCCAAGTAATTTTCCCAATAAGAAATAATAGAAACTCGGATGATTCACTCTGCAACTCAAAAATACTCATATAAAATGATAATAAGACTGTAACTTAATACAAAATAATAAAGAAAATGCAACATAGAAAGAAACAAATGAACCTACACTTAGCTTTGAAAACCTTCATGGCTGCTGTGAGGGAGACAAGAGGGAGGAGGGCCATTGTGCTGGAGATTTCATTGTCACTAATGGAATCACTGCTATCTATTGGCTCCTCAATGGCGTCTTTCCCTTTTTGCATATCTTTAACAAGGGACCCATTCTGTGACACTTGCATTTGCCTTCTTTTCAGGATTTTGCAGAAATGGGATGTTGCAATTTCATTAAATAGATTCACCTCCTGCATGGCTGCAGTCTTATTTGGGGGGTGTTTTCTACACAGTTTTGCACTTTTCCCTACATTCTACTCTCATTTGCATTGAGGGTTCCTCTGCACTGTTCCCCTCCTCTGCAGCTGAGATCTCCTTCATAATCTCTTGCTGTTGGGAGCCAAATAGCAACAATCCTGGAGAAAGAGAGAGAGAGAGAAAGGGGAGAGAAAGACAGGGAATCACTTCATTGGCCAGGGAGGGTGAGGCATCTGAAGGGGACCCGTGTTGAGGCCCTCATTATGGGGTCTCAGCAGAAGATTAGCTTCCCAGGGAAGCAGACTTCCTGCTCTTGTCATGATGCCCCAGGGAAACTGGCCAGTCCTGTGCTTTATTTCCCTGCTGGGCACATGAGAATAACAGCCCTGGACGGTCTCAAATAAGTGTTCACCAGACACAATAATGAATGACTGTAAGACTGTCCGAGGGACACAGACATTTCATAAGTGTCCATTATTGATATTATTATAATAAAGTGGTCATGCCAGACAGGGCCAGCCCTCTATTACTTGCAGTGCTACAAACTGGTTCCTGAACTGATTACAGGTTTAGTTTGTTTGTTGTTTATTTATTTATTTATTGGTCTTTTTGAGACAGGATCTCACTGGGCAGTCCAGGCTGGTCTTGAGCTCACTTTGTAGCCCACACTGATCAAAAATGATCCTCCTGCCTCAGCCTCCTGAGTGCTGGGATTACAGGTGTGTGCCACTATGCCGGGCTTCAGGTTTAGTTTTAAAATAGTGATTCTTTTTCTTCTGGTTGCTCCTGTGAGACGATGTTTTAAAAAGACCTAGTGTTAGGGATGGAGAAGTTGGCCCTGCAGGGTGAGATTACCCATGGATGATTCAGCCAGAAAACAACTGGTGGCAAAGGTCATTCATTCAGGAAAGAAAAAGGAAGCTGTGATCAGTGCTCCCTGGAAGCCTGTTGGATTCTTGACATTTTGGGGTTGCTGTGGCGGAAGCAGCATCTCAGGGAAGGAAAACCAAGACCTGAGAAGATGAGGGCTTTCATGATAGCGATGCTGACACAGTCCTTGATTAGACTGGCCTGGTTGAGAAGAAGCATCTGAACCGAATGATAAAGGCTGGGGAGGTTGACGAGAAGCCAGAGACCTTTGAATCACTGGTTACGAAGTTAAATGATAGCAAAAAGGAATTTTCTGAAATTTCTGAGAGGCCCAAAGCTTTAAGCAAAGCTCTCTCAGAGTCGGCATCTCAGGATTCATGTTACAAATTAAATCAGGAAATGCTTTAGATGATGTGTCCCGGAAGACATTCCACCTGAGAACTTCTGACCTAAAGAAAGCACAGCAGAGGCTGAAAGAGTTAATAAACATCAGAAAGCCGGTCGAGATCCCTGAACCAAAGAGACCGACAGTCAGCCTGAAGATCCAGGGAACAAAGTTCACAAAGGTGCTTCCATAGCCTCTTTTTGGTGCCATGAAAACGTGGATGCAAATTCAAATTAAAAAGTGGAATAGTGGGAAGTTGCTTCCCAAGTGGCCAAAACTCCCTCCAACGCTAAGGCGAATGGAGGAAAAGAAAGTTCTTGGTCCAGGCAAATTTTTGCCGAGGTGTTCTTACAGAGGTCCTGAAGGTGATCCAGACGACTGTGGGTGGTTCTGCCTGAGGGCCAGAGCGGAGATGGCAGAACCCATCGGCTGCCACCCTTAGACTCCCAAAGGACAACCCTGGACAGCGTGCTGAAGACGGCTTGGATGCCAGGTCAGTCGGAGGCCAGAGGCGTTCAGATGACTCTGCAAAGTCAGGGGACCCGCCTTTTTGTCCATGCTCTCGGTTGTTTAACTTTATCCTCCCCTCTTTTTCTCCTGAGATTTTGGTGTTTATGTTTAAAGTGCTGATGGAGATAAATGGAAAAAGGAAACCACTCACTTTGATAATTAGAAAAGTGAAACACGTGACCCTGTTACAAAAATGAGAATACAAAAAAAAGACCCAATGTTATTGTCATGGAAAGATACAGAATTTCTCATGGAATGGACTGTGTGAATTAAAAAAAGAAAGGCAAAAGATTTATATGATTTGAAGAGTAATCAGATTTTTAAAAATCCACATATTTATAAGTCATATTAAAATAGTAAAAATACCACAAATAGTTGGAAAGAATATATTAATTCAGATTCTCAGCTCATGTGTAGAACAGTGCATGATAAGGAGTGTAGTTTATGCACGGAGATCTGCTACTGATTTTGCTGTAGCCGGGTCTGATGTTAATCTTTCGCCTATGTTTCCCATGAATAAAATAAGGGAAACAGAATATGTGGTCAGCGTAATAGTTTCTAAAGCTTCAGTTTCTTAGATAAGAAGTGTTAGGCGACTGCAAAGTGTTATTAACATAATCTATTGATCTCCAGATAACTTGCAGATGCTAATTAACTTACGGTGTTTTGTGAAATAACTTCATCATATATTATTAGAGGGACTCTGGAGATGCGTTGACCCTGGTACTAAGGTGCCCATGGAGATCACAGACCACTTATCTGTCAAAGCAACCAGCACCTCAGGGTGCTTCACCTCTCTTGGAGTGTCCTTGCCACTTCCTCAAGGGCAGGGCAAGTCTCTTGGGTTAGCTGAATCACAGACTCCTAAACTAACACTCTCAAAGTTTAGGTAGGCTTTTGTCCTTTCTGGAAGTGGAGGAGAGACTTCACAAATTCCCGGGCCACTTCTATTTACATATTTGTCACCTGAGAGTGGTTGTTTTGTTGTCAGTAAGAAACCAGTGTCCAGCACATGTCACGGACCACTGCTTGAGAATTTACCGTGTATTCAAGGGGGACCTGGTGAGTACATAGGGATTGGAAGGACCTGGGTTGAGGTCAGCCTTGAAGCTGTGCTTTGCAGGTCTTCTGACTTCAGAACAGCGCTTCAGGGTTGGACACCATATAACAACATGTGTCTTCTCCTGGGTTGTCATGGAGTGTCTTCATTGGCCTTGGTTCTTCTTCCTCTAGTGACAGCCCCAACCCCAGTCAAACACGCTCTGCATCTCCGTGATTTTCCTTCCCCAGAATGTCATACAGCTGGAACAGTATAGCACACAACCCTTCCAGATTATGTTCATTCACTTTGTGACACACATCCAAGCTTCCTCTACGTCTCTTCCTGGCCTGACAGCTCATTTTAGTATCACGCGATCCTCTATCGCCTGGGTCTGCCACATTAAGCCACTCATCTAGGGATGGATGTCCTGGACTGCTTCCAGATTCTGGCAGATAGTGAATCAAGCCATCGTCAAGACCTGAGTGTAGGGTTATGTGTGAACACACACTTTTGACCTCTTTGGATAAAAAAGAGTGAGCCCATCAACTGCTGGGTCATAGGGTAAAGGCTTTGTTTAGTTTTGGGTGGAAATTCCAACCTGTCCTCCAATCGGGCCATAAGCTAAGTCCTTCTGACTATAGAAATGTGGGTGGATGTTTTCTCCTAATTTTGACACAGAGTGCTAGGGTGTGAGGACCAGTGAATCAGGAATGTAAGTGAAAAGTGTGTTTGCTTTAGGTTCACACAGTATCTAAATGCTTGTAAGGAAGAGGGAAGGGAAGATAGATGGAAACTGACTTTTATTGACGTGAACAAGTTCTGCAGAGCTCAGGGTGGGACCCGGGCTGAACCCTTAGCAGAAACAGCCTGCTTTTTAGGAAACCACGTTCTCTCCTCAGAAAAGCACACCATATACCTCCTCCTATTACTCAGATGTCTTGAGCCGCTGGGTGGAGAAATAGATTCATGGAGGTTAAACACTAAATAGTTCATTCGAAGCGTGTTTGACTTCAGAGACTCAGTGTCTTGCAGTCTTGGATAAGCCCCGAATTCCCACCCCCATGGCAGAGTGACTGAGATGACAGTTTAGATGCCCTCTGGGGTCTCCACTCACCCCCGTTCCCACATCTCTCCTTCCCTTTTATGCCTTCAGGAAAGATCACCATCGGCAGCATTTCCTGTATAGTTTAGGAGTTTTTGATGATGTTTTAATTTTTAAAAATTATTTCCTGTTCCCCAGGTGTGTTGAACTCAGGGACCCTTTTTAATTTTATTTTTAATTTAATTTGTCAGTCACTAAGTGAGCTGACCTCAAACTTGTGATCCCCGGCTTCTGTCTCTCAGGGTGCCGGGATGACAGGCGTGCTCACCACCCGGGGTAGGAACTAAGCTTGGTTAACTGTTTTAGTCTCATCCTCTGGTGCTTACCATGTGGTCAATAAATACTGAATTTTGGGAGGAAGACAACGTTTTATAGAAGTGTGAAGATGATTCCACCTAGTTTATGTGGCAAATCATTTCTACCTTTGAACACCACTACGTTAGACAGAAGGAATGGAAGGCAAACCCAGCTCCCATAGGAGGGAAGACTTAAAACACAAAGAGGGGTTGGTCGGAGCCCTGCAGGGTACTTGCAACAGACAGAACTTTTATTGAAACATCACCATAGAGAAAGCCCAAGAAATATTACAGTTCTACAGAGCTTATCAGAGCTCGCTGGAGAAAAGTAGCGAACTAGGAGGCCCTCAGTTAGGAGTCTGGCTAAATCTGGCGTCTTAGTTTACGGGGCCACCCCTTTTCAGTGGGGTACGGCTCAGGAAGGCACTCTCTGCTCGCTCTTGTTGATTTTGCTGGGTTTCTCTTCAGTGGGGTGAATTCTGGATTGGTGAAGCTTTCCCACGAAGATCTATTTCTTCAACAACCGTTTTCACAATGACATGTCTGGGTAGATCTGAAATGGTGCATGGGAGCGGTTAGAATTTATAAACCCCATAAGTGGAAAGTCACTCATCCTCTGAAACATCCATGAGAAAAAAGTGGAATGCTTGGCACAGTTTGTGTTTACCTTTTAGCTGATATTCCCGTCCTCCCTGGGCCTCTGATTTGAAGTGAGATCTGTAAAAACAGGTTTTGCATTAATTATTTCACTGTGAGCTTTGCTGAGGAAGTCTAACCAGTGATTGAAGGCAGGCATTCACTGGATGATGAAATCACAGCAGAAGGGAGTTTAGCTGCGTAGGATCTGGCCCACGGATACTTCATATTTGATTTCATTCGATCTTTCCTTACTACAGAGAATGTCCAGCTGTGTGAGTGGAAGGGCACTCACCCCTCGTCCCCATCTATGAGGCGGCGGTAGGTCTCGATCTCCTTCTCCAGGTGCACCTTGACGTCCAGCAGCTGCTGGTACTCCAGTTTCTGGCCCTCCATCTCGGTCCTGACCTGGTGCAGCTGCTCCTCCAGGGCCCCGATCTGCGCCTGGATCTGGGCCAGCTGCGTGCAGTAGTTGCCCTCGGTCTCGCTCAGGGAGCACTCCAGCGAGTGTTTCTGTAGGTTGGAAAAGGTGTCACTGCACTGTGTCAGAAAGGCCAGGTCCCTTCAAAGGCAAGAAGAGTTCATTTTGCAGGATGCAAATCATCACATGCACCCACAGGTCCCATTTGTCTCTGTGAATTTTTGCCTTTAGGAGCTGTCACGCCCTTCTGTGTGAGAACCACACTGAGGGAAGCTAATGCTGCACTGCCAGGGGCTCAGGAGGGTTACAAAGATGGAGGTGTTTCTCCCTAGGGCGGAGTCTAAAGCTCCTTCTCTCCCATACTCATATTCTGTGTTTGGGGGTTCTCGGGGCCCAACTTGCCATTTTCCCAGGGAGTGAGTTCCCTTACCTTTGCTCCCTCATTTCTAATCATTTGACAACCTTGGTTGGTGAGGGTTGTAACTGTTCCCTGTCACTGGCGCAAACTTTATGTAAGTAGAATTCTTAATTTCCTTCTAAGCTTTCAATAGTCTGATTCATTGGCATGTGAATACAAAAAGGTTTATGTAGAGCCGCAGAGGAAACGCCTGTTAGATTTCACACAGCATGGAGAGGAGGGTGTTTCACCCCTTCCTATGCCAGGTATTTTTACAGAAGCCGTTGCTCATGGACCTCCATAGCAGCTTTTGTGGATAAACTCTAGCAGGAAGGCAGAGACTTGGGAGTTAGAAAATCTGGAGAAAGAGCCTGGTTCCTTCATCTGCAGCGGTGGAACCTTGGTGATCCCTTGGCTTCTTTAATTCTTAGCAGCTGCTTTTGGAAGTAGTGATGGGTTATAAAGTCTGCCTTGTCCAGCCCTCAGGGTCTTGTGGACTAACACATGGGGGTGAAACTGTCTCACCAGCTCCTAATGAACAAGGTGGCTGTTTTCACAAGTGTAGCCCCAGAATCGATCTTTACCCTTTTATTTGCTTCTTGTCTGTGCCACTTAAAAAGGGACGTAAGTATTCTCAAGTGGTCGAAAGGGATACTAGAAAAAGAAACTGAAGATGTACAAACAATTTGCTCTCCAGACAGTGGGTTTTGATATTTTTACTTGGGAGAGAAGACTCAGCACAAAAGCTCTATTTTCTTTTTTAGGTAATTTAACACAGCTGTGTCAGCTAATTTCTGTTGCTTCCCAGTTATTAGCATCTAGGTATAGTTCTCAGGCAAGGAAAAATATGTGCAAAAGCAAATGTCTCACGTCATTGTCACCAGTGATGGATAAAATCTAAAGTATATGATGCTATCCACGAGGAAGTTCTCTTTCATTTTTTTCACCTTGCTTCTTAAAGCAAACCTGTTTCTCGCTTACCAAGGCTATGTTGGACTGCAGTTCGATCTGCAGGGCTAGCGCTGAGCGTCTTATCTCAGTGAGTTCATTCTTGGCTGATGCGGCGGCTCCGGTGTCTTCTGAGATTTGCTGTTGCAGCGAGGCGCTCTGCAAGGGTCAGGCCAAGTCAGGCATGTGTGCTGCCTCGCACCTGGGCAGCACCTGGGGAGCACCTGGGGACGACCTGGGCAGCACCTGGGGCAGCTGATGCACTCTGCCCAGCTCCACCCGCCTCCACAGCTCTACCTTCTCACTGAACCAGGTCTCGGCGTCCCTGCGGTTCTGCTCGGCCAGCGCCTCGTACTCGGCCCGCATGTTGTTCAGCAGCACCGTGAGGTCCACGCCAGGGGCTGCGTTCATCTCCACATTCACGTTGCCCCCGGCTGCGCACTGCAGAGCCTTCATTTCCTGAAAGAGTTTTGTTTAACCACATTAAGATTCCTTTCCTTCCTTCCTTCCTGCTTTCCTTGCTTTCTTTCATTTTTTCTTAAAAAACAAAACAAAACAAAACAAAACATGATCTCACTGTGTAGCCCAGGTCAGTCTTGAGCTCACTCTGTAGCCCAGGCTGACCACTACCTTACCTGCATTCCTCCTGTCTCAGCCTCCCAAGAGCAAGGATTTTAGAGGTATGCCAAGGTTCCCTGCTTTAGGATCTGTTTGTTTAAAGGAGCCAGTAGCCAGGGTCCTTAGTCTTTTCGTGGGACTTGTTTCTTTGGAGAGGGATGCATAGAAACATTTTAAATAATCTGAGTCATCAGGAGAAATTGATAATCTTGGCATTCATTTAAGATCTGGTGCTTATTGTCTGAAGTTTCCCATGGGGAGGGAAGGTGGGTGCCTACCTCCTCGTGGTTCTTCTTGAGGGTGGTCAGCTCCTCGGTGAGCATCTCCAGCTGGACTTCCAAGTCGGTTCTGCACAGGGTCAGCTCATCCAGGACTCGCCGTAACCCGTTGATGTCAGCATCCACGCTCTGATGCAGGGCCAGTTCGTTTTCGTATCTGGCACACATTTATTACCGCGTCACATTGGGTTTCTAGATCACCATAAAACTCAAAACTTTGAGCTTGAAACTGTTGCAACCATGCAGAAAACACGGTTAGAGTTTCCATAGTGCATTGGATCCATACATTTCCTAGAAGCTAGAGAACGGAATTATTCAAACCTTTCTGGGACCCTGACATTCCTTTGGGTACACCCCTCTTCCCGCCCACCAAGTTTCCCTAGTAAAAAGATTCCTGGAGATTTAAGTGGCATAAGCGCCTGCCTTGCAAGCAGGCAGTCGTGAGTTCGATCCCCGGGTACCGATAAAAAGAAAAAAGACAAAAAAAAAAAAAAAAAAAAAAAAAAAAAGATTCCTCAGCAGGAAGTTGTGCTAATAGGCTTTTGGTTTAAAGCGAATAATAAATAGAACTAAACAAACTAGCCCTGATCTTGGCCTCCACAGGAGAGGGACTCTCTGAGGTGACCTTTTCTCACCTTGCCCTCAGGGCTACTTACTTCAACCTGAAGTCATCGGCTGTCAGCCTGGCGTTGTCATTTTGCAGCACCAAGTTGGCGTTACTGGCAGTGGCGGAAATTATCTGAGAAGTGGAACGTTAGTCGAGAGTGAGTGAGGACATAGTTTTACAAATTCGAATTTCTTTGAAATAAAGTTACTTGGGAAGTGATAGTAATATTTTTAGCATCTGTGTCTAATAGCAGGGGGTTGGTTTTGAAAATGAGAACTGGGTCTCTGGCTTTTCTTGTACTCCCTGCGATAGCCCTGCAAAAACTTTCTGTTGGAAAGTCTGAATAGAGAGGCAGAGGCAGTGAACAGTTTTTGGTATTTTTATGTTATTAGAAACACACATGTATGCCTTATACTAGATGGTGGGACAGTCATGTCCAAAGAGTAGAATTTTAACAGAAATGATTTTTGATGTAGGTAACGAGCTGCCAAAATTTAGAAGCTGAGTCCAAAGGTCAGGCTAACAGTACACACATCTGTGTGTGTGTGTGTGTGTGTGTGTGTGTGTGTGAACACTGCCATCAGCATTACAACCCTCGACATTGTGTCATTACCTGGATCCTAAGGTCATCAATGATCGGCAGGTATCTGCTGTAATCGTGATCAAGACCTCGGCAAGAGCCAGGCCCGAATGTCTCATACCACCCCTTGATCTTCTGCTCCAGCTCTGCGTTGGCCTCCTCCAGGGCGCGGACCTTGTCCAGGTAGGAGGCCAGACGGTCGTTGAGGTTCTGCATGGTCACCTTCTCGTTGCCGGCCAGGAGGATGTGCTCGGTCCCAGCAAATGCAGCATAAGGGACACTTCCTATGCCCGGCGCGTAGCCTCCTGCTGACAAGCTGCCCCCAAATACGCAAGAGAAGCCACTTCCAATGCCTGGGACCCCACAGGGGTTTCCAGCTGCGAAACTGGTGCCAGCTCCAGAGAGCCGCCCAGGGGAGTCCAGCTGCTTGGATGCGGAAGAGAAGCGCACAGACATGGTGGTGTCCACACTGGAGCCGAGGCCCTGTTGTCAATGTCCCTCCCGCTCGGTTTCTTCCCCTTTATATACACAGGATTAGGGTGTTTCTGGATAAACTGCACTACTCACAGCAGAATGGTGTTTGCCAGCTCATTGCAAATTAGCCATAATTGGGTGATTTTTTTCTTAATGAATGTCTTTGCCCCACTGTTTCCACTTCCGTGGGTGGGGAGTTACCTAGGGGTTGTTATCTCTGGAGCAGGGCAGGGTGGAGTATCATCAAGGTCATTATAGGGGTGCCTGTTGGACTGCGTGTCAGCACCCCTTCTTGTCTTCCAGGCGTCAGGCACGTAAAATTCCTACAAGACTAAAAATGTGTGATAGACATATTTCTCTCTCCAAACTGAGAACATCGTATCTTCTCCAGAAAGCACAGCATCGTGGTCATAGGTTTCCATCAGATGTGTTGAAAACAATTTTAGGACCACGGACTCACGCTACCGTAAAGGAAGGAGGTCAGGTCCTAGGTGAAAACCAAGGAATGAAATGGGATTGTCTTAGGAGAGAGTCTTCCCCTGATTGTGATCCTCCCTGAGCTGTCATCTTATCTCTACCGAGTTTCCAGCTAAGCTTGGTTGCCAATCAGGTTTGGCAAAGAAATTGATGAACTTCTCAGCTTCCTCAGCTCTCCCTGAAGGGGCCGGACTGCAGCCCCTTGGATGCCCTTCCTCTCTCCAGCCTTCTCCTGTTTCTCCTTTTCTTCCTTTTGCTAGCTCTAGAATACTTGTTGCAGTGTTGACCTCTGCTGCTTTTTCCTCCTACTCGTTCTTGAATTTTGGTTCCCTCAGCTGAGAGATTTTGTTACTGAGGTTGCCTAGCACGGAACATCTTGTTTGATGTCTGTTCCTTCCGTTTCTTCTCCTGTAACTGGATCTGAATGAGTTTCAGACAACTGCTTTCTGGAAATCCTGCTGTCTCTCTTGTAGCCTTTTCTCTCCCAGCCTACGTCTTTCTACGGTGAGGGGACTCCCTCCTCCTCTATTTCATTACTTCCTTGCCCCGATCTTTGCCTTTGTTCCCATGACTCTTTCTGCTTATTTTTCCTCTTCTTAAAAGTGTTATGAAAATTGGGGGCTGGGGATTTAGCTCAGTGGCATAAGCGCTTGCCTTGCAAGCAGGAGGTCATGAGTTCGATCCCCGGGTACCAATAAAAAGGAAAAAGACAAAAAAAAAAATGTGTTATGAAAATGATTTGCTAAGTTTCATTTGCCAGGAGCACAGGCCATCACTTTTAGTTTATAGATTTAAAATGAAGTTGCTAAGAATATAAATGTTCATCACCTAATAAATGAGTTTGCAGAAAACAAGGCCAGAAAATTTTTTCAACCAAGAAATGACATTATTAAGGTACTATAATTTTTTACAGTACCTAAAATTATGGCACCAAAATATTATATTTTTCAGTTTGTAGCCTTATGCTTACAGGTATTTCTATCTCCCCATTACATTCTGTGAGCCACAATTTGCCTTCAAAAGAAAATGCTTTTTTTTTTTAGTACTTTTTAACTGAAAATTTTCCTATCTTTTTTTATTTTTTATTTTTTTGAGATACGTCTCCCTGTATAGTCCAGGCTGGCCTTGATCTCACTGTGTAACCTAGGCTGGCCTTGGACTTGTAGCAATCCTCTTGCTTCAGCCTCATGAGTGCTGGGATTACAGGTATGCATCATCATGCCCATCTTTTCCTGACTCTTGCACAGGGGCTCCACATTTTAATTTTGCGCTGGGCCCCAAAACTATGGAGTGGTTGTGATTGTTGTGTTTTTCTCTTGGGACTCTGGAGAATCTTAGAGAAAAGACCTCTAGATGCACATCACTGAGTTCCCTCATGTAAAGAAGCTGATTACACATCTACCTTGGAATAAAACACTCACACACACACACACTCACACACACACACACACACACACTCACATATACACACACACATACATGTTGCATACTGAGTTTCCAGATACCTAAGGCTGCTTTACTTTTGAAAGTGAAGAATTTGCAAGATCACCATACACTGAAGCAATGCAACACAACAAACAAACTCACAGAAACAAGTAAAACATTACTAACAGGAAATGGAGATGATAAAGTAAAAGAAAACCCTAAAAGTGAACACACCTCGAATTCTGTTAGGAAGCACTAAAGTGCCCTGAATCCAAAACATGGGTTGAATATCACTACAGAAGCACAAGAAACAGTCCAAAACAAAACTTCAGTAAAGGAGCTGTCAAAGAATTTAAAAATGTGTCTCTCAAAAAGTAGATCAAGCAGATAAAAAAGATGGATAAAGGGAAAGTGCAGGGAAGTAGAATCTTTCTCCAAGAAGACCACCTGATTAGGCAGATTTTCTGGAATTATGAAGGGAGGTAGGACAGAGACTTTATGCTGGTTCTGTCCTCTGGAGAAGTGAAAGATAGGTGTCTACAGAGACCACCAAGAAGCACAAGCAGGGTGGAAACAAACTGTGGGGAAGCCAAAGTGTTATGGTTGCTAGTTGTGTCAACTTGAGAAGTTTAGAGCTAACCCAGAGACTCAGCGGGGAGCCCGGGTTCTTTGTAAACATCTTCATCCTGTGTGAGAGGAGGGCAAGGAGGTTTTGTGAGTGCTACGCCCACTCTAGGGGCTGGGAGTGGCCTGTGTACAATATAAAGGAGGAAGAGCGGCTTGCTCTGCCTTTTTGCTCCGGCTGTCACCTTGAATTGTTGTCCTGGTGCCATGCCACCCTGCCTTGGAGCCAGCTGATTATGGACTGAAACCTCCACAAACAATGAGCTAAATAAAGCTTTCCTTCTTTCATTTTGGGTGTGGAGTATTTTGTCCCGGCAAGGAGAGAAAAGTAACCAAGATAGGAAGCCTGACATTCAACAGTGGGGAGCCAGGGTTGTAGTCGATAACACTTTCAAGGCTTAATGCGCATTGATGCCTGAACTACTGTTCTTTCCTCTGATAATCACAAAGAGAACATGGAGTAAAAATGCACCCACACATCTCAGTGCCTCCAATTCCTTTGTGTTTCTGCTAGGAAGTAACTAAAAAAAAAAAAAAACAAAAAAAAAAACAAAAAAAAAAAACAAAAAAACAATGACACAGGAAATCTCTGGATGCATCTGGGCAAGGTGGCCCGGTGTGAGGCACCATATGAACACCCTTCACTGACAGCTGCAGAGCCGTTTGCAAAAGGGGCAGCCCCCTGGGAGGCCGAGGCTGGAGGATTGAATGAAAGCTTGGGTCCAGCAACTTGGGGAGACCCTGTCTCAAAACACAAAAAACAGAACAAAAATTCCTTGTCTTACGACTGGGTTCCTGCAACTAGATTATTGAGTAAATTGGTCATGAAGTGAGGAATTACGTGTAGTGTGTATATTACCATATTCAGAACAAAGAAATGTCAAAAGAAACTCCCACTGAAAGAGTCTGCCTTTAACACTAACACCTGGCACTGTAACATATAACTGTATTGGTCAGGGTTTACTAGAGAAACACGTGTGCAAGATCAGACAAAATTGCAAGATCAGTTTACCGTGGTCAGTCACCGAGTGGGGTGAGGGGGTGTGCGGAGGGGGTCTGCACGCTGGAGGCTGAGGAGTCCAGCCCAAGGGCTGGGGCTCATTGCAGCGTCCCGTGCAAGTCCGTACCAGGAGGCCAATGGGTCTGTGATGGACACTGAAGAATCTATAACGGAAGGCTAAGGGGTCTGTGGCAAAGGCTGACAAGTCCCAGGCAGAAGCTGAACAGTCAGTCTGTGCCAGGAGCCAGGAGACAACGTCCACGCTGCAGGTGAAGACCGGAGCTCCCCGAAGAAAGCAGCCATCAGTCCCTCTGCATTTGCCTTTTACTGCAGGCTGCTACCTTGGGGCGGGAGCACCACTCACACCATCTCCACCCTCCTCTTGCACAGGCTGCAGATGTCACAGACTAGGGACCCTGGCCCCCTGCTGAGCCACTTAGTTGAACTTCTGACCTTCACAAATTGACACAATGAACAACATCCTAGGGAGGTCAGGCTTGTCCTCTATACCCAGGATGTGAAGAGACCAAGAAAGCTTGTTCTATCTGCTGCTTCCCCTCCCCTTCTCCCTTCAAATCCAACTAGGTTAAGTTTTAACTTCCTAAAGGCCATTTACAAGAAGAAGGGGAGGATGAAAGGGTTAACTCCCTAACTCCCCAGAGCTATCAGAGCAGAGCAGAAAGGAATGCCTAACTCCCCAGAGCTATCAGAACGGAGCAAAAAAGAATGCACCTGCAAGGTTGTTCTGTCTCAACGAGATAAGTAAGACAAGTAACTGTTCTGTTCTGGGCACATAGTGACTGGGCTAGGACCCCCAGTCTCCATGGTTACTCAACCCCAAACCCCTCCAATCAACTTCTGCCAAGTCCTATGCTGCTCAAAATTAACCAATGCAATCTGCTTCTGTAAACTTGCTTGCCTCCCGCGTGCGCCCTTAAAAACCCTGCACAATTCCCCCTTGGGGCCCTCCGTACTTGTTTGCCTGGGGGACCCCATGCTCATGGAAATAAACTTTTTACTCCTCACTATGAGCTGAGTCCTTGGGGTCTTCTTCCCTGCGACGCTGGTCCTTACAGATGTACAGCTGCCGGGTCCCCTAGGTAAGCTTCTAGATTTCCCAGGTGGACACAGTGTGTCAACCGTAACAATGACAGAACGTAAAATGACAGGGCTGTACTGTGCAGTACAATCAGCAAAAATCACAGCACTTATATAGATTTTTTTTGTATGCTACAAAAAACAAAACATTGAGGCTCTATAAAGAAGATATACAGAACTGTAAAGAAAAGCAAAGCAAAGGAAAGACGTTCCTGAGTCCGCGTGGTGGCTTGTCAGTCTGGATAATGTGTGTCAGTTGTCACTCTGAACAGTCACTAGACAAGTAGGTCATGAAATGAGGGATATTTGAATCAAAAGGGCTGGGAGCTAGCGGAGTGCAGAGGCCCTGGGCTCAGAGGGGAGACATGGCTCATTGCCTGTGAGGACGGGGGCATCTGAGCTTCACGTCTTCAGGTAAAGGGAAAAATGATTGCTTGGTGGTTTAATCAGGATGATAAAAGAAAACCTATCCATGGCTATGGAGAGGCAGGAAAGATTAAGGCAGGAGGAAATGAGGTTAATACCAAATCAGGAAAACCGTGTCTCCGTAAGGATAAAGACAAGGCAGAATTATTTCAAAATTATGCAAATACTGAAGGTGTTTGTTGCCAAGATGGGTCAGCAGTACGTGATTTCCACTTTTATAAATGCGTTTGAATTCCTTCTCTTTCCCAGGGATGGTGATTCCCTTGTCAGTTTACCAGCAAAAAAGCAGAGTGACTTAGGGCATGGCAGCGCATGCGTGGACACCGCTCATGGGAGGCTGATACAGGAGAATTGCAAGCTTGAGCCCAGCCTTAGCAATGCAGCGACTTAGTGAGACCTTGTATCAAAATAAGAAATAACAAAAATAAGAAATCACAAGGAGTGCTGGGGATGTCGCTCATAGCGAAGGCCCGGGTTCAGTCCCTAGGGTCTGACCCTACAAAGATGGGGGTGACTCTTCAGGGCTTGAGGAAGGACATACACAGGAGTGCTATGATTCTGACTCACACAAGAAAACCAGAGACCTGAGGGGCACTGTGCGTTCTCACACACCCAGGAGGGATGGACAGATGGAACCCTGAAGCTAGAGCAGGTGGGGTGCTTCTTCCCACTCTGGGACTTAACCGAAATGAAAGCAAATGTACCCAGAACGTAGTAATGCATTCACTCTTCGCTGGATACACACACAGTGAACTCTGGTCGGTTCTTCAACAGTAAGTGCTGCATCTGGGCTGTTTTTCTTTAAAATCTGCTCAACTCTACCCTGCCCTTGGCATAAAAGTTGGGTGTACTATTGATACACTGTGTCAACTTGAGAAGTTTAGAAGTTTAACTGAGAGGCTCAGCAGGGAGCCAGAGTTCTTTGTAAACATCCTCAGCCTCTGCAGGAGGAGGGGAAGGAGATTTTGTGAGTGCTACATCTGCCCTGTGGGGGGTGGAGTGGGGTGGGGGAGGGAGTGGTGTGCTTACAATGTAATCGAGGAGAAAAAGTTTGTTCTCCCACCAATTTTTGCTCTTGTTGCTTTTGCTGTCTTCTGCTGCCATGAACTGTTGCCCCTGTGCCATGTCACCCTGCCTTGGAGCCAGCTGCGTATGGACTGAAACCTCCACAAACAGTGAGCTAAATAAACCTTTCCTTCCTCCATTTGGGGTGTCAGATATTTTGTCCCAGTAAGGAGAGAAAAGTAACCAAGACACGAGTCTGAATGGAAGGGGCTTGCTGTAGGGAGCTGCTTAGCATGCAGCTGACCATGTGGCTTTTGAAATTGGGGACCAGGCAGGGGACCAGGAAGGGGACCAGCAAGGGAAGGAGGGAAGGCCCTACAGGGTAGGAGGAGGCTGGCCATGGTCCATGCACAACGTATGCATGTATGGAAACGTTACCACAAAACCCATTAATCTGTATATTAGTATGCATTGATAAAGAAAAATCCATGTCATGAACAGGGCTGGCTTCATGGGTGTGACACTTGGGCAGCTGCATGAGATTCCCTATTTGGTTTAATGTCCTGCTGCCCTCCTGAGATACTTGGTGTCGTGTCTTGGAACTTGTGTCTCAGAGTGAATTCTGATGAGACCACGTGTGTGGCCGGAGCTCTGGAGTGTGTGAGATGTGTTCACATGCACTAGAGTTCATGGACTTCTGACGCGTGGCACCTGCAGTGCCTGCGGGGACCGTGTCACACAGTTGTGATGCAGGGGCTCCCGCGGTCTCCACAGGATGTACAAGGATGTCTCCGAGTCAGCTGTGTCTCCTCTGTGTCAAGCCCAGAAGTCAGGCAGCCCCCAGTCCCTTCCTTCGGCCTCTTCTTTCTAGGAATCCAGAGGCAAAGCTCGTTGCCTTGAAAGGCAGGAATCAGGAGGTCAGACACAGACGACTCAGCTTGCTTCACACAGCATTTCCACAGTTTTGGTAAGAGTGCGCCCAAATGCATGTGTGAACCATGAAATAGAAATCATAGCGCTTCAGTGTTACACGTACGAGTTCAGTGGTCTCCATGAGGATTTAAAACAGACATTGTGCAATAGATGGGTGTTAAAATGAGGCAGCAACTTAAAATTTTATTTTTTCTTTCCTTAGCACAATATTAAATAGCAACCCCCCAACAAACCAAACCAAACGAAACCCCAAAAAGCCAAAAAGAAAACCAGAAAAACCAAGGACGAATGGAGAGTGTAACTGCAGGAGAGGAAGCAACATGACCCTGTGTCGTCGGAAGACCCAGAGCCTGAAGCGCTCGCCCGCTGCGGCTGCAGGAGAGCTGGAGCTGAGCTGCAGCACCTGCGCTAGTGGTTACACCTCTCCTGGCTGTTGTTGGTTTGCCTGTTCCCTGTGGCCACTTTCTGTTCCAACGACTGAGTTTAGCACTTGGGAGAGACAGACTTAGGGTATATTCATAGGCAGCCTCTCTAGGCTTTTATGAAAAAAGCTTCCAAACTCCACGCTAGAAAAAAAGGAAGCAGCACGAGGCCGACGGCTTTAACTGAGGCTCTGTCCAGGGATTTTCCAGTTTGGATGAGGCGTGGTGGCCTAAGCAGGACCCAGGCGTCCAGAGGAGTCTCACAGGCGCCACCTAGCGGCGGAACTTTTTGATGCCTCCATCCCTTCCTTCCTCTGCGCAAAAAGTCTCCTTTGAAGTCTTGTGATGGGAGTCTTTCAGTCTTCAAGTTGTTCTGCAGCCAAAATTATTTTCAGTTTCTTTTCTCATCAGGATATGTTTGTGACACACATTAATCACATTCTTCTTGGGGCGATAGTGAGCACCTATGACACCTTAACTGTCTGCTTCTCTCTCCATCTCCTCTTCTTCCCTGTCGCTGCAGGTAGATATGGACTTCCCAAAGGTTCCCGTGCCCGCCTGTGTAGACGTGGTGGTACTTAGAGGTGATGCCCGGTGAAGGTGCCCTACTTTGAGGTCCTGTGTTGCTGTTGCCTGTTATTTGAAACTAGAATGAAAGTGTCTCCTTATGGCAAAAAAGAAATCACAGTGCATTGTCCATTGGACGTCAGTGAATGGAACTGTATGCTTATCAACTTTTTTTTATTTCTTTGGAACAAGCATCCAGCATCCTGCAAAAGTTGTTGAGACAGCGGGTATCTCGGCTAAGCAACTTATCTTTCAGCACAGGAAGTGTTTTATCCTGATCTTGAGGCCGCAGTGTGCCAGACCCTCCCCAGATTCCTCTCTCCCCGAATGGCAGCTAGAAGGGGACCCTCTGGTCTGTCTTGTTGATCAGAGTCAATGTCTTTTCCTCGATGGAGTAAATCCTGGATGAGAGGACGTTGCCACCCTGATCCAGTTCTTCAACCACCGTCTTTACCAGCGTGGTTTTGGGTAAATCTAGAAGGAAGATGTGTGTGAACGCATGGATTCAGCCAGGAAGCCCAGTGGTAAAATCGCTCCCTGCTGGTGGTAATATATTAGGCACCATTTGGGGGGAAGAAGTGAGTACAGTTGTATAGTAACAATTTGGAGCAGTCAGATAAAGCTGAAAACACTTCCAGTTCAGAGCATTTTAGTTAAAGCCACTGAAGGACAGACCATTGTCATAAGTCACCGCCACCACTGTAGAAGTTTTTCCAGAACACAAACAGAACTGATTTTATTACCTTTAGGTGAGTGCCCTGAGCTTCCTGATCCAAAGCCTTCTGATTTGGAGCATGACCTGTAAAAAAAAATTTAGTTTTTACATCTCTGCTTTCTATTGCATAAAAAGCATCCATTGAGCTGATGATTGATATGAAATGTGTTCACCAGAAATAGATCTTACTTTACAATGGGGAAAAATAGTAAGATTTCTGTGTGCAGGAAATGTTATCTAAAGAGAAGACAGAATCATTCCTATTTGATTGTCTTAAGCCCAAAGAGTTTAAGACTTAGGAAACATACACATTTCAAAATTTGAGATATATGTGAAATTTAAGATGATGTATGCTGGGGGCTTATTTTAAGGGGGTGCAGTGATGTTAGGAATCCACTGAAAGCCCAAGAAAAGCTGGAAATGGCAGTGATTAGCATGGACCACGCTTGCGGACCTGGACAGGGATCACTGCAGGATTCTGTGCTGCGTGCAGAGAGGAGTCCAGAGGTCAGAGGAGGGTGTTTTGTGCAGCCAGAGTAAAAGAGGGAGGCTTAGAGGCGCAGAAGGCATGGGGTGGTGGGGGATGCAACAGTGTGGATCCTCCAGGAGTTTCGCTCACCCCTCGTCCCCGTCTATGAGGCGGCGGTAGGTCTCGATCTCCTTCTCCAGGTGCACCTTGACGTCCAGCAGCTGCTCGTACTCCAGTTTCTGGCCCTCGGTCTCGGTCCTGACCTGGTGCAGCTGCTCCTCCAGGGCCCCGATCTGCGCCTGGATCTGGGCCAGCTGCGTGCAGTAGTTGCCCTCGGTCTCGCTCAGGGAGCACTCCAGCGAGTGTTTCTGGGGACGGCAGAGAGGCATCGTAAGGGATTGGACCACCAAGGACCATCCATGGTCCTCAGTTACGGAAATGTGTGGCATCTGACCCTGATCACTTAGGTGGCCACCCGGCTGCTGGGTGACCTGCCAAGGGATGAACGCATGGCCCTGGGCCCACAAGACTTTTCTCGGTGCCCACGGGCAGCCACTGTATCTAGATAATACATCCTGTGAGGACTTACCTGGAAGTGAAAGCATTGTTTTGGAGGAGGAGGAGGAGTAACACAGTAAAAAATCAATGTGAGAAAACATATTTTAAAATCGGCTGTTTATTTCTGGGGTGTCTGCTGGACTTCGGCTTCACTCTGCTGTGACCCGAGCCCATCACAAGGTCCGTTGTGCTATCGTCTTCTTCTCTAATCCCCCGACTTCCTGTCACCTCTCCAAGGCCTCTGCCTCATGCACCCCCAACTGAAGGCACGATGGGGAAGGACGGGGGTTTCAAAGCCGCAAGGACCTCGGAACGTTTCTTCCTCTTCTACTCCTGTGATCTGTGTTGGGCAGGGCACAGGATCCCTGCATCCCTAAGAGCATTATCCCGCTTCCTTGTCACAGGTGACTGTGGCGGCACGGTGCCTACTTCTCCTGGTGTCAGGCATCACCAGCATCGCCGGCCCCTTCCTCTCTCTTCGCTTCTCTTTGCTTTTTTGCTGGAGCAATTTCTGATCTTACATTTATTAAAAGAACACCCAAGACTGTGGGGCCTTTCCCAGCGTGGGTGGGCCTAAGTTTTTACATAATAAATACATTTTATTTGAAAACACTTTCCCTTTTTACAAATTGCCGGGGTGATATCCTGTTTTTAAAAATAGTTTCTTGTGTTGCTAAATATGTTCTGTACTGATTTCATTCTAGGATTGCAAAGAGGCAGTTAAAAAATACTCAGCATCCTCGGAGGACACTGGTCCGAGGGTCCCTTAGGACTAGAGCACCTGACCAGGACTGATGTAGGCCCCAGCCCTGGCTGACCAACACATTAGGTGAGGGTGCTGGGTGCTTCTGGAGTGCTTGAGGAGAGGGTGCCAGGAGGTAACAGGTGGGGAGGGTCAGGGTGGGGTGTGCTGGGCGCCTCCAGCTTTAATTTCTCTGACTGTGGGGCCTTAGCACACACACACCCAGCATGGGGATCATCTCTACTTTCCCCTCCTCTGAGAGTCCCCTCCCCCGCCTCCACAAAGCCCGCCTTTCTGCGAAGCACCTGCAGCAAAGTGGTACAGGGAAGACAGGAAGGCGTCTTCCACCTTTTGGAATCAGGTTGCCCTACCGTGGCCAGGAGGGACCTCAGCTCGATCTCCTGGGTTTGTAGAGTGCGCTTCAGCTCTGTCAGTTCTGTCCTGGCCCGAGTGGCCTTGCCAGCGTCGTGGGACATTTGCTGCTGCAGTGAGGCGCTCTGCAAGGGGCAGGCCAAGTCAGGGTGCACGCTGCCTCGCACCTGGGCCGCACCTGGGCCGCACCTGGGCTGCACCTGGGCTGCACCTGGGCAGCACCTGGGGCAGATGATGCCCTCCACCTTGCCCTCCAGAGCTCTACCTTCTCGCTGAACCAGGCCTCTGCATCGCTGTGGTTCTGCTGGGCCAGTGCCTCATACTCGGCCCGCATGTTGTTCAGCAGCACCGTGAGGTCCACGCCGGGAGCCGCATTCATCTCCACATTCACGTTGCCCCCGGCCGCGCACTGCAGAGCCTTCATGTCCTGCGGGGGTCATGAGTGTGACTCAGGACACATGACGGTGTCCACACGCAGTCTGAGTGCTCAGAGGTGTTAGTTCATCTTCCCAGATTGAGGGTAAATAATGTAAGTGCCCCAGTTTCTAAAACTGACTCACTCATCCCATGTCTTCACCCATCACCTGTTCCAGGAACTGCTTTCTGCTTAAAAATCCCGGCATCACCCTACAGCCAGTCACTGCGTCCCAAGGCAGTGTTCTTACTGTTTTCTGGTTACAAAGACCAGATTCCTTCTCCACATAATTACCAGATCACTGAGAACAGAGAAAAAAATCAAATAAAAATTTCAGCCCTGCGGACCACCTCTTTGAGGTAGGTGTATTTCTGTATTGGGAAACTGAGGCACAGGGAGTGGGAGGAATATTCCTGAGCTACTTCTGGAGACTTGAACAGAGAGAATTTGAGCTTGTGGCCTCTGTTCCTCCCACCCTGCCCAGCATGGTCTGTGCCCCCCCCCCCCCCCCCGCCTGTGCTCCACAGCCTCAGTGTGAGGCTTCCCCCTGGATCTGAAAATGGATTTCTTGACAAATAGGCAAATGAGTGTCCTGAATCTGCTTCTCTGGTTCACTGACATTCACGCTTTCACTGCTGTGGGAGGGTGGACATCTCTTCTCCAACCTATTCTCATGGTGCTAAAGCCGTGACCTTCCCCAGTGTCCAAAGGGCAAAGCGTAGACTGCCTGCGGAAGCCCCGTCTCTTTCCATAGTGTGTGGTTTGTGTAGGATTCCACGTGCAGAAAATTCCTGTTGGTGCCCGAGTTTGGAAACTGGATGGCATGAAGTTACCCTAAGGGGCACCGGGTGCAGGGAGTGTGGGTGTGGGAACCGAGGCTGCCTGACTCTTTGCTCTTATATTCAAGATGTTCAATACTTTCCTCTTGCCGCTGGTGTGTTTTTAAGGGGTACAGTGATTCCTGCTATGGTCCCCAGCCTGTGATCCCCAATCTTCCCTGGGTGTCCCTAGCTGGCTGGCCTGCGGTGATCACCATTTCTTCTCCCAGGGCCTTCCTTCCTTCCTTCCTTCCTTCCTTCCTTCCTTCCTTCCTTCCTTCCTTCCATGCTGGGGACTGAATCCAGGGCCTTTGAGCTAAGCTGTCTCCCGTCCTTTTATTATCTTAATTCTGAGATGGGGTCTTGCTAAGTCACTAAGTTGCCCAGGCTGGGCTGAAACTTAAGATCCTCCTGCCTCAGCCTCCAGAGTGCCCGGGCGTTTTCCTGTTTGAAAGCACTCCCTAGAGTGCATGGCTTGTCTTTGCTGTCTTGCTAACACTCTCCGATGTTCAAACTCTCCAGTGCTCAGTTCTGTGCCCTGCCCTCTCCTTTCTTTGCCTTCTCTAATTGTCCTCTCTCTCTTTCCCTAAATGTTCTCATTGGAGGCAACTAGATTTGAGGGCTGTGCCATTTTTAAACATACGTATATGTTTGGTCTTAGGTTGTTCTCTGGAAATTGCCACTCATTGTTTTGGGACTTATACAAATACATTTAGACAGAGTGATCTATCCATCTGTCTACCAACCACCTACCTATCGTCTATTTATTCATCTAGTATTCTATTTATCTATCTGGAAATAGATATTCAGGGCAGGTCGAAGCTTCCTAGGAAGCATCACACAATGGGTTTGCAGTTGTGCAGTGTTCAACATTAAACTAAACCTGGGCCCCCAGGGTGGGGGGAGGGCACCATTGCTTTTCCTAGTTGGAAAGTCCTTGGGTGAGAATCCTGAGGGCAGCGGGCCTGAGAGATGAAACACGTGACCTAGCAGCTTCTTCAGGCAGAACTTAACTATTATTTTTATACCGATAAAACCTATCAGCCTAGAAAACTGGAAGGGCACAGAGCAAATCATTACTGTTTGCTCCTTTGTGACTAGAAAAGAGTAGAGAGAGGATTCTTTCTTTCCATCCCTCCACACGCACGTTATTGGGTGTGAATGGCTGTTGAGCTCTCGCACCCTTCCTGTAGTTGCAACGTGCAGAATCCTCAGGTTTCCTGGCCCGGAAGTGCAGCCTGTCCTACCTCCTCATGGTTCCTCTTGAGATAGGACGCCTCCTCACTCAGGGACTCGTACTGTAGCTCCTGGTCAGTCTTGCAGAGTGTCAGCTCATCCAGCACCCGCCGCAGCCCATTGATGTCCGCTTCTACGTTTTGGTGCAGTGTGACCTCGTTTTCATACCTGGGGGAATTTTGGTGTGAGTTAGATTACGTCCAGAGCGGCAAAGAAAACCTCAAGTGGATCAAACCAAGGCTAGAAATGGAACTGGATGGAGAAACACACCAAGACCTCCCCCATCCCTTCCCTGAGTTCTGTTCAGGTTAACCTGCAGTTTTTAATCACAGAAATTCCAGCAACACATCGCGAGGAAATAAGAATACACCTCCTTGGAACTTTCTCGTAGTTAATGATTTTTTACATAGTTGATGCCTCGTTAACTGTTCATCTACTTGGTGCTGGGCACTGTTCTAGCAGGCAGAGGGTTACTCTGTTACTTGTTCTAGAATGTAATGAGTGAAAGCCAGACGGGGTGGGGCAGACCTGTAATCTCAGCACTCGGGAGGCTGAAGCAGAAGGATCGTTGCAAGTTCAAGACCAGCTGGGTTACAAAGTGAGTTCAAGGCCAGCCTGAACTGCATACGAGACCCTGTCTCAAAAAGACAAAAACAAACAAATAAAAAAAAAACCAAAAAAGTGTGTATAAAGTATAAGCATGGTTGATTGCAGTATTAGGACACAAATCCTTTGCTTCCTTTAACCTTTTAATTTGTAGTTCATTCTTCTTGGGGTGAAGTCAAAATTCTATTTAACTAGTTCAAGTTTTCTCTGGTGCACAATTATTTTCTGTCACTTACTTTAGCCGGAAGTCATCCGCGGCCAGTCTGGCATTATCAATCTGCAGAATGACCCTGGCATTAGCAGCAGTCGATGAGATAATCTGGAGGATCCAGAGAGACCGCAACAGATGAGCTTTGGTTATTACTGATTATTTCAGAAAATTAGTGTTACACAATTAAGCTGTGCGTAAAACTACTTCCTTCTATAATAACCAAAATGTTTCAAATTTGCTTTTTAAAAAATTCAGTGGTTTTAGAGCCAGGCACAGTGTCACAGGCCTGTGATGCCAGCACTCAAGAGGCTGAGGCAGGAGGATTGCTGCAAGGTCCAGGCCAGCCTGGACTGCATAGTGAGAGCCTGCATCAAAACTCTAAGCCAGACTAAAACAACCAAACCAAACAAAACCAAGCCAAACCAAACCAAAAAACCCCAAACTAGTTTTACTTCTTGTATCATTGTTAACTTCAAATATAATACTTTCTTATCTGTTAACATATTTCAAAATAAGTCATGGAACTAACAGCATGTTAGCTACATCGAATCACGAATAAAAGTGTCCGTTCTGAGTAATGGGAAGAATTTTTGAGTGAAATAAATCATAAAGGCAGGTCACAGATGACAGTTGGGAAGCGTCTCCTGCTGTGGTCCCGTGCTTCTTCCCGGCATTTGGCTTTCTCACCTTGGCTTTGAGGTCCTCGATTGTTAGGTGGAGGCTGCTGTAGTCCTGGTCCAGCCCACGGCAAGACCCGGGCCCGTATGTGTCATACCAGCTCTTGATTTTCCTCTCCAGCTCGGCATTGGCCTCCTCCAGGGCGCGCACATTGTCCAGGTAGGAGGCCAGGCGGTCATTGAGGTTCTGCATGGTCACCTTCTCGCTGCCAGACAGGAGGCCACCCTCGCTTCCTGCAAAGCTGGTGCAGGCATGTCCAGAGCCCCCGCCACCGGGATTCCCACCGGGAACACCGCCCAGTCCTCCTCCAAAGGCACAGGAGAACGGGCTCCCGAAGACCGCGCTTCCACAAGAGCCGCTGCTGACCAGGCCAGTGCCCCTGCTGGCTGGCCTGATGGATCCAGCGCCGGAATATAAGCCACGATGCCTGGATCCACTGGGACATCGGAGAGCCATGGTGTCGCCAGAGATGCTCAGGGAGGCCAGAAATGTCAGGGAAGAAGGGTTCCCTGAGCTTTTATACGCGCTGTGGGGTGTCCGCGGTGAGTTACAGATGCCAAAAGAAAAGAGGGCATCATTTAGATTAGCATGAGATTACAGATAATTGGGTGATTTAAAAAATATATGACTGTCTCGCATCCCTGGGTATCGCTTCAGGGTATTTGTTATCTCACCTAAAACGGCTTGTTCTAATGTAACTTCTAATTTCGAGTGAGTAAACCTTCACTTTCATCTGGACCCTGCGACTATGCCTTCATCACCCGGCCTGGGCATGATCAAGCCTTCAGAGGTGAGATCGTGTGATAAGGCAGCGCTGGCTACAGCAGGGTCTCAACTACCGCTGAGTTACAGAAAAGATTCTTCTCTACAGAAACAGATATTTTACTCCATGAAAACAAAACAAAACAAAAAACGTGTTATTTAAAAAATACAGATTGCTGGTAACTTCTCTGTTCTTGCCACGATCACAGCATCTATTTATCTTGGATGGCGACACAAGTATTGTCGTCATCTCCCTTAACATGCATGCATCCCGTGCTGTGGCTTGCACAGGAAAAATGAAAAACACAAGGTCTGCTGCTAAAGAAATGTGGAAGGGAAAAGGTGTGGTTAAATCTTTAAGAAATTCATTTTCTGATCTAGCTGGGCTGTACCATGCAGTGGTCTCGGGAGATGGGAATGGGTACCAGGTAAAACACAGAGACCATTGTCAGGCCGAATGGAAACAGGACGTCCAGTGACAGCTTCAGGTGGGAAGGAGGGAGGATGTGGGTATCAGTGGACACTGAGGTGTGGGGACAAACTGGTGACGACAAGTTGCTATTTGATCACAGAGGCTGCTGATTTATAATATTAACTGAGGCAGGGACAGGAAGATGCTGAGCTTAGTTTTGGACCAGCCAGGTTTGGGGGTTGGAAGGAACGGCCCAGATGAAGGGGGCTGGGAGGAGGAGTGAATGTGAATGGGAAAACACCAGCCTGACAGTGAGGAAAGGGAATGGCAGGGAGAAGGAAGGCCACTTGTCTCTTGCACTGGCGTCTAGCTGTTTGGAGGGGACCCTAGTGCAAGACTAGAGAGGGCGGTGATTGGACTGATGTACACGGGGATTTTGGGATGGATTTCAAAGAAAGAAAAAGTGCAAGAGAAGTGTCTGGTGCTCTTGAGAGACAACTGAAGAGACTGAGTGTGTGTGTGTAGAGAATGGGGAAATTTGCAGCAGACAGACGGAGGGGATGAGAGAAGGCTGAGCCCAGAGACTGGACCTACGTTAGGGGAACCTACGTTCAAGGGAACCCACCTAGCGAACTAATCCCCTCCCCCTAGGTCCCAGCTCTTCAAGTAATATTGCTACTTACTGTTATTATTCATGACTAATTATTCATTTGAATTACTTGTTATTATTAAGTAACAGGCCACTAATTGGTGCAAACATACTTGCGTTTTCATATGTAAGTAAATGTTTCCAAAGGAGCATTTGACAACCGAAAGGAGAATGAAGATGTATTTTATACTTGAAAATTGTTAAGAGAGTAGAGTTTGAGTGTCCTCACCAGAAAAAAAGTGGGATGCAGCTCGTTAGAGCCAACTGTTTCACAGGGTACGCACGTTTGAAGATATTATTAGGCTCTGTACCATAGACAGATAATTTTTGTCAATTAAATAAAAACGTTGTCCACCATGCTTGTCCTTCACTCTACCTCCACCAGGGGGCAGTGCTCGCCTTCAAATGAACGCAGCTCAGGGTTGAACCTTAGCCTGGGCCCAGGTGAGCTCATGTGGCTTAAATCCCGATGGAGAGCAAACCCAGCGTTTATTCTTTTGAGAGGCCGGGCATGATGAATATAAAGCCAAGATTGAACTTCACTGATGGGATGGCGGCCGCTTCCACAGGCGTTTCCTCCTGTGGGCCTTATCAGAAAGCTGGGACTTAGGAAGCCATGGGGTTTCCCTCCCCTCTTTTGAAGATAAAGAAGCAGAGGAAAAGACATCCAAGACTGCACAACATGGACCGCGGAAATAAAACCCCGACTTGTGACTCAACGCGGTGGCTCTTTCAATACTAATGCAAAAATTTCCTCTTTGATGAAATGTGAAAAAGTCTTTCTTATGAAACTCTTTCCAAAAGTTCGACTTAACAGCACACTAAAAATGCTGGCTCCCGCTGTGCTGCCCGTCAAATGTCATTTATTCATTTACGCATTCAAGAAGCATTCGATGAGCAACACCCGCTGTGTGCCAGTCACTGTGCTGGGGGCTAGTGACAGAGGAACAGAGGACAGAGGCCTTCTCAGGCCTTGGGGACTTCCTGGTTGGTGGGAGGTGGGCCCTCAGTAAATAACCCTAACCTTACAAATTGTTTTGAAAATTAGGGAAGGAAAGGATGTGGAAGGGGAGGGGAGGGAGGTCCCAGTCCAGGTTGGTGCCCCTTTTGGAGACATGACATTGGGAAGATACTAGGCAACTGAGGAGGTGGTTTCCAGGCTAAGGAGCAGAGGATGTGCTAGGAGGGGAAGAGCCTGAGCAGTAACTGGTTTCCACTTGGCCTGAGAATGCGGATTCCTCTCCGTGTCATTTCTATTACGCAGAACCCAAGCTGGAGTAGCGGACTGAAAACAGGCTTATTGTAGGTCAGGGGTCTGGAGATCTGAGGCACAGCCCTGGCTTCCACGGGGATGTGGGGAGGACCTTGTGCCGAGGCTTCCTGTGAGGTCCGGGGGAGAGCTGCAGAGCCAGGCCATGGGGAGGGGCCCAATGCTTCCATCACAGCTGCGCTGGGGGACTCACCAGGGTCCCGTGTGAACCACGGCAGCTCCTCCCCGTGGTACTGTCCCTGGCGTGCTCACCAACTCCCTCCTGGTTCCCTGCTTCTCCACATGGGGGCCCTGGGGACCAGGATTCCAACATGTGAACCTCACCCCATATCCACACCACCACGTGGGGAAAAGGCATGAAGCCTTCAATGTATGCCAGAGGTGAGTGAGGAGTTTGCAGGCAGAGAGTGCCGTGGAGGCTGCCCTGAAAGGGGAAGGGGTCTTGACTTTCCCCTTGTGTGGAAAGGAAACCCACTGAGACATCCAAAGAGAAGAAGCGTTTTATTTTTATTTTTTAAGAAATTTTATTTTAAAGAAAATAAAACCAGGGCCAGGGATTTAGCTCAGTGGCATAAGTGCCTGCCTGGCAAGTGCACTACCTCCACCAGGGGGCAGTGCTCACCTTCAAATGAATGCAGCTCAGGGTTGAACCTTAGCCTGGGCCCAGGTGAGCTCCCGTGGAAATGGCTTAAATCCCCGGCGGAGAGCACCGGTACCAAAACAAACAGCAGCAACAACAACAAAATCCTGATAATAAAACCAAACAAAATAAAACAGAACAAAGCCAATCAAATCGAAACAAAACATTGAAAATGATACCGGACTTCAAAATGGGATAATAGGAAATCAGCAATGGCCCCCATAATGCCTCCTCTTATCTTTCAAGCTGCTGCCCAAACCATCAGACATAGTAAAATCAAAGAGAACAGAACTGAATAAAACCAATCAAAACAGAACATTGAATAAAAGAAAACAATAAAACAGGACAAAACAAAACAGCAAGAACAATACTGGATTTCAAAAACAAGACAGAAGGAAGCCCCCATGGCTGCTGTATTACATCTTGTTATCTTTTACAGAGATGCTCAGTCTCAGAAATAAGGAAATGAAGGGGTGAAAGGACTAGAGGCATCAGAGGGGTGGCTCAGGTTTTAGGCCTGCAAAGTCAATTAAACAACCCAAGAATTAAGTTGTTTTGTACCTCAGTAGCTATCAACTCAGCCTGTGTTCCTCTGAATCAGCCAGCTGCTGGGGGGTGGGGTGCTTTTCTTGTCTCCCAGCCGGTGGGCTCATGGAAAGGCAGATTGGCTTCTTGTTTCTCTTTTCAGCCTCGCATGGATAGAATGATTTTAGAAAGGCCATCCCGGCTGCCTTGTGGAGAATGGGTGGAGGGAGGTGAGAGCCGCAGGTCTGAGAAGCCTGTTGGGAGTGCAGATGCCACAGTGAGAGGGCAGGCAGCAGGGGACAGGAAAAGAGCAGAATCAAGAAGCCTCCTGCGGACCCTGAAGATGTCCCGACCCTCATCTGCAGATCCTGGGAATGTTACCTTCCCTGGCAAGCAGGCATTTCCAGATGTGGCTAAGCTAATAGAGACAAAGATTCCAGCAAGGTTCAGTGTATGACTCGCAGTTGTGAAGTTGGCGCCTCAATGCGCCATTTGTAATTTCTGTGCCCTGCCTAGAATTCCCTTCCCACTTGGATTGCTCAGTTTCTAGCATCCCCCAAATCCCAGGCCGAGGGCCACGACTCCTGATAACCCTTCCCGGGCTCAGCATTCTCATAGGACATCACAGTGCTCTGTGTGGGGTCCTCATCCTGGCACATATGCATCCGCTGTGGCACCAGTGCAGGGAATGGCTGTGTCTTCCTTAACTTTTCTTTCCAGGGTTGTTGTTCAATCATGATTGTCAAATGAATGAATGGATGGATGAATTTGATCCACTGAATTAAACTCTCAGGCACTCTAGCCCTTCCCTTCCTCTTGGCAGGATCATGGGATCAGTTATTCTGAGACAAAGCTCCTGCCGATGCCCAGCTGTGTACCTTGCCCTAGCTGTGGCTGGGGAGCATCATCCTTCCTGTGACACAGCTGCTTTGCCCATGATTTCCTTTTTTCCTGGCCAGGGAGGCTTCTTTGCACCAGCATTTACAACTTCTACTGAGCTCCTTCAGTAGTGGTGGTGGATCTCAGTCTTTTCTTTTGGTCCCAGAGAAATAAGGAAATGAAGGGGTAAAAGGATGGGAGGCATCGGAGGGTGGCTCAGATTCGCACTTAGCTGCCTCTTCACGCTACCATCCAGGGTCTGAGGCTTTATGATTGGCTATTTTCAGAAGAGTAGGAGGATATTTTAGAAGATTGGGGGTGCTCTTTATGAGAACTTGG